CTGACTACCTGGTACATATGCAGTCCTGTGAAATGAATAGAGAAAACTGGACAAGATTTTGAGATACTCAGTAGGACAAGTATGCATGCTGGCATCCTCTACTTTGCTCCAGCCTTGCCCAAGAAATTCAACACTCATTCACACACACATAAGCTTTAATGAACATTTGTTGAATAAATAACTGAATGATGAATGAATGAATGGATGGATGAATGAAAGCTGCTATCATAAAATATCTTGGTTCTGTAGAATCTTAGAAGTGACTTACTCTTTTGAGAACTTTAAATGTATTTACTGTAAGTTAGGATAAATATGATTAATTAAGCTGGGTGGAGTTTATGGCTAAGGACCTCCTAGAGGAAGTGCCTTTTTGCAAAGCTTTGGAAGGAAGGAATGTGTGTTTATTGAAAAGTAACAACGAAGTTTCTGACTAGAAAACTGGGGCTTCAGGGGCTCTACAACTTTCCAAGCTCACAGGTTCTTGGATATTGGATATTACACAAGATGTTAGAAACAAGATTCAAATCTCAAACTCTCTTATTTTATACCTGTGTTTTTTCATTATATAATTTTACGAATTAATTTTTTTTTCTATTTTGTAAAATTATGAGAAGATAAGTAACCTCTGTATTTTGACATTTTCCGCTTTGATAATATAATTTTTAATTTTATGCATTGATTTGTAAAATGTTTTACTAAGATCAAAAAGGGCTACATTTCCTGGTAACAGCCACAAGATTGTCTAAATCCTACCCTTCCTGCCCACAATGTGAAAAATATGAGAACCCTAAATTATGCACATATACGCATACATCATGCACACATGCAGGCATATATATATATGTATGCATGTGTGTGTGTGTGTATATATATGCTTGTACGTATATCCAATCATTTTCTAAAAAGCAGAACAAGACATTTCAAAATAGATTTTAAATGTCGTGTTTAGATGTTTGCTTATTCCACTACTTAAACATATGCAGGCCAGTACATAAAAAGTAGCTACAAATTAGACCAGTTTTTAAACTGAGCTGGAAACAACTGGGAACATTATGGGTACATAGGTTCAATGAGTAATTTATGACTGTTTTGTTTTTTTCATGCCTGTTAATTTTAAGTAAACATATATCATGGCCAGGCACAGTGGCTCACGCCTGTAATCCCAGCACTTCGGGAGGCCGAGACAGGAGGATCAGCTGAGGTCAGGAGTTCAAGACCAGCCTGGCCAACATGGTGAAACCCTGTCTCTACTAAAAATTCAAAAACAAACCTTAGTTGGGCATGGTGGCACACGCCTGTCATCCCAGCTCCCGGGAGGCAGAGGTTGCGGTGAGCTGAAATTCTGCCACAGTACTCCAGCCTGGGCAGCAGAGTGAGACTTCATCTGAAAAAAACAAACAAAAAATTATTTAAATATATATCAAAATAAACAGGGACTTAGTGGAAGTTACAGGTCAGATAAAGTGAGTTTAACAAATAATTATGGTAGCTTTTTTCTTATTTTCTACAGGGCACCATTATAAAGGACCTTGTCTTAGATTTGCTTATGTGAACAAAAATACTTTTATTTATTTTTTTTTTGGAGACAGAGTCTCGCTCTGTTGCCCAGGCTGGAGTGCAGTGGTGTGATCTCGGCTCACTGCAAGCTTCGCCTCCCGGGTTCATGCCATTCTCCTGCCTCAGCCTCCCGAGTAGCTGGGACTACAGGCGCCTGCCACCTCACCCGGCTAGTTTTTTTTTTTTGGTATTTCTTAGTAGAGACAGGGTTTCACCGTGTTAGCCAGGATGGTCTCGATCTCCCGACCTCGTGATCCGCCCGTCTCGGCCTCCCAAAGTGTTGGGATTACAGGCTTGAGCCACCGCGCCCGGCCTACAAAAATACTTTATTGTGTGTGTTTGTATGTTTCTAAAGGAAAAAAGGTCTATCCCCTTTTCTTGACTGGAAAAACCTGGGTTTAAGCCAATCTGATTTTACTCTATAAATATTTAAATCTCCTTTCTTTTCTCTAGTCATTTCTGATAATTCCTCTACTTTATACTGACAGTGTGGTAGACTCTGAAGACACATGTTCTAGGTGCATCTGGTGGTGACTGTTTGGGGTGCGATTTAAATTCACAAGAGCAACCCCAAATGGAGTGGGCGAGTGGCCAGATTACAAAGTTGTATGCATCCACAGGAATACACCAGATAATTAGGGATTCTAATTAGAAAAGTAATATATTATGGAATGAGCTGCAGGCTTCTGGAAGCTCATTCAAAATATTAAATTTCTTTGGAAGGTCGTTATGTTTTCTTTTCATCTGAAGACCCAAATTCCTTCTGCAAAAATCGGTTTTGAGTTAAACCTTTAACATGTCTGCCCTTAATTAATTTTCAGGCTTCAAGGACTGTGAATCGTAGGTTTATCCTATCAATTGGATTCTCAAATCCTGGTAGATGTCCCCAAAAGAAGAAAAGAAAAAGCATCAAACTCCATACTCAAAAGTGCCCATTAGTCAGCTTTCACCCTGCCAAGTTGTCAAGTGATATCACAGCTATGATCTTTAAAGCATTCAAAAAAAGCTGGAAAATTGTGTGAAGAGCTGGATTTTATGTCTTTTGTGTGTGCCAAAGGGATTGTCCAACAGAAAGTACGCTGGAAAGCCTAATTATTACTCCACATATAGTACGTGGCATTATAAGCTATTTTGAGGTTTTTGGAAAGGGAGAGCTATGAGTGACAACCACAGCAGGGCGTGCTGAGGAATTTAAACCCAACTCTATCATCTCCCTGTTGGCAGAACATAAAACACATAATGCTGTTTTAGTAATCAATCTTTCGTGTATTTACTTTAAGGAGAAATAATTTCATTAAAACTTACAGAGTGGGAAAAGAAGTGATATAAACATCAACATAGTACATTTATATTCAATGAGAATTATTTTTTTAAAACATTATGGCTGCTATTTACAAGGGTAGCATTCATTTCATACTTAAAATCACAGCAGCTTTTGTGACACTTTTTATTTTTGGGAAATAATGAAAAATCTGATTTGGATTATGACTCAAGTTAAATATTTAAAAAAACTCTTTAATTCTTGTACATGTAGGTTGTTGTATGAACAAAATAATGTTGGGAGAATGAACTCAGAAACATAGAAGCTGTCAGTCATTTATTAGATTTGCCTCTGCTTTTTTATTCTATTTTATTTGAAAGGGTCTTCAGAGAGAGATGAGAATTTAAAGACATTAATTGAAGAGCATTGTTTTATGATTGTGACTTCAATATACAAATCCAGTGAGAACTAGCTCTGAGTCAAATTTATGGATATGTCAATACAGTTTAAAAAGAAATTCAGCTATCTCCCCTCTCCTCCTGGAAGCATTTTATACGTCAGCATTGTCTACCGTTTAGTCGCATAATCTTTTGCTCAGTGGTCATTATAACGTTGGAGGGCACCCCTTAATGCCTAACATATGTAAAAGATATTTATGCGTAGTAACCAGTATTTTACTTACATTTTCTCCCAAGCTCTGTGGAATCTCAAAAGCTTTTGACTCTACGCTTCAAGTCCAAAAAACCTAAGCAGATTTGTGATACCACTTCTTTTTCATGGTTCTAGATAAAACAAATAAGAATTTCCTTTTCTAGTAAAATAAATGAATTTGCCTCTCTGGTTTTCCACTCTAAATACTAAGAAAAAGGGAGGCACAATACTTAAAGTTAAGGATTATTGTAACTAAGGTAGAATAAATAGAAACAAATAGTTAATTTTCCACATAGATCTATATCCATGACCAAGGATAAATGAAAACTATGACATTAGGATTTGCGACAGTGTTTTGTTATTTTGTGGTTATTTCAGACTTACCATTTTAAAGCAGAATCAACTTATTACCATTTTGAAAACGAGAAAAACCAAATCCAAGTTTTAATTCAGGCTTTACTAATAGTTCTATGTTACATGATTAATAAACCTCTGGGAGATATTACTTTTAAATATTATAATAAAAATAAATGATATTTGACTGTTTCCCTTTGAGGGTGAAGTAGAGCTAATGGTCTTTAAATCTGACCTCCTTGCTGCTATTCCCATTTTCTCCAAAAGGTGGCGCTTGTGTAATCTTTTTCTTTATCAGGGTGCAAAGAACCCGGGGAGCCAGAGGGACCTGAGTGAATATTCGGAATTGTTTTTCTTCAACAAACTCAAGGTGGCCATATCAGAAATCTGTATTTCCACAATGGCGGTTTCTTTATGCTCAAAGAACCCTTCAAATAAGAAGTAATCTGATTTTGTGAAAGAAAAACATGCTTCCTGTGCTTCCCATCTTAGTTTGGTTTGAACTTTGGAGTTCTTTATGCCAAGTTTATTTTATAATGTTTTTCTTCCTTTCTGATCTTAGACTAAAGTTCTATTTTTTTAAAGATAACCTTGATTCATGTGGAGTTGTCCTTCTTAATTAGAATTCATAAGCAACACACAAGTATGTCTGGACTCTGTCTAAACAGAGCTCTTTGACAGCACAAATGCAGAAGGATAAATCTATCAGACAGGAGGAATCTTTTGAACTATGGGCAGATAAGAGGGATTCAGAAGCACAGAGGGAAAGGAAAACATGTTGGAGAGATTCTGATGATGAGACAGGAATTCACAGACGAGACCTAAAATCAAACACACAGTTTTTCCCAGCAGTTCACTTAAATGTGCTTCCAAACTCCGTAGCTGAAAGCAAAATTTAAATATGATCTAACGAAGTCCAACTACTTCACTTTACAGATGAGGAAACCAAGTCCCAAAAGATGAAGCCACGTATTTAGTGAAACACAACTGAATTCTGTTTCTGTTTCTGGTGAAAGAATACAAGGATCTGTCAAAGAGATGTGTTAAGTCACAAGTTGCAGAAAGCAAGACTTAATAGTTTTGAAAATTGGTGTCTTTTAAATCATGATTCTTTTTTATTTAGGCATGTATTATTTTGGTCACTATGCTGTTTTAGACACTATCCTCTGCTCCACAGATGAATATGGTCATTCATTAGCCATTAAGCTGTAGATCTGTGCTGTCCAATACCGTAGCCATTGGCCACGTGAGTATTTCATTGAATTTTAAGCTAATTTAAATGAAATGAAATGAAAAATGTAATTCATCCATTGCATTAGCCGTATTTCAAATGCTTAGCAGTTGCATGTAGCTAGTGGCTACTATTTAAACAGGGCACATATACAGGTGTAATTGTACTTCACTTTATTGTGCTTTGCAGATGTTGCATTTTTCACAAATTGATAGTTTGTGGCAACTCCGTATGGAGCAAGTCTATTGGTGCCATTTTCCCAGAACATGTGCTCACTTCGTGTCTCTGTGTCCCATTTTGGTAATTCTCACAATGTTTAAAACTTATTATTTCTGTTATGGTGAACTGTGATCGGTGAATTTTGATGTTACTGTTGTGATTATTTTGGAGTGCCATGAACCACACTCATATAAAACAGTGAACTTAAAAGGTAAATATTGTGCATGTTACCATAGCTCCACTAACTGACCCTTCCTTCATCTTTCTTCCTCTCCTTAATTTCTCTCCCTCTCCTTGCCTCTGCACCGCACCCCCCCCCATTCTCTGAGACACAACAATATTGAAATTAGGCCAACTAATAACTCTAAAATGGCCTCTAAACTGATCAAGTGAAAGGAAAAGTCACATGTCTCTCACTTTTAATCAAGAGTTGGAAATGATTAAGCTTAGTGAGGAGGGCATGTTGAAAGCCAAGATAGGCTGAAAGCTAGGCCTTTTGTGCCGAATAGTTAGCCCAATTGTGAATGCAAAAGAAAAGTTCTTGAAGATTAAAAGTACTACTCCAGGTCAGGCGTGGTGGCTCACGCCTGTAATCCTAGCACTTTGGGAGGCCGAGGCAAGTGGATTGCCTGAGCTCAGGAGTTCGAGACCAGCCTGGGCAAAACGGTGAAACCCCATTTCTACTAAAATATAAAAAAAAATTAGCTGAGTGTGTCAGTGTGCGCCTGCAATCCAAGTTACTTGGGAGGCTGAGGCAGGAGAATTGCTTGAACGCAGGAAGCGGAGGTTGTAGTGAGCCAAGATGGCACCGTTGTACTCCAGCCTGGGTGACAGAGTGAGACTCCGTCTCAAAAACAGTCAGTCAATCCATAAAAGTGCTACTCCAGTGAACACAGAAATATGAGAAAGTGAAACAGCCTTATTGCTAGTATGGGAAAGATTTGAGTGGTCTGGATAGAAGATTAAACCAGCCACGTCATTCCCTTGCTCCCTGATCTAGAGTAAGGTACAAACTCTCTTCAATTCTGTGAAGGCTGGGAGAGGTAAGGAAGTTGTAAAAGAAAAGTTTGAATCTAGCAGAGGTTGGTTCATGAAGTTTAAGGAAAGCAACCATCTCCATAACATAAAAGTACAAAGTGAAGCCACAGTGCCAAAGCAACTTATCCAGAAGATCAAGCTAAAATAATCCATGAAGGTAGCTATGTTAAACAACAGATTCTCAATGAAGATGAATGTTTTCTTTTGGAAGAAATGCTGTATAGGACTTGCATAGCAAGAGAGGAGAAGTCAATGCATGGTTAAAATCTACGAGGGACAGGCTTAGTCTCTTGTTAGGAGATAATGTATCTTACGATTTTAATTTAAAGCCAATGCTAATTTGCCATTCCAAAAATCTCTGGGCCCTTAAGAATTATGTTAAATTGGCTCTGCCTATGTTCTGTAAATGGAACAACACAGCCTGGATGGCAGTACATCTGTTTTCAGCATGGTTTCCTGAATATTTAATCCCACTGTTGAGATCTATTGCTCAGTAAAAAAGATTCATTTAAAAATATTATTGTTCATTGACAATGCACCTAGTTACTCAAGAGCTCTGATGAAGATGTACAAGGAGATTGATGTTGTTTTTACCCCTGCTAACACAACATTCATTCTGTAGCTTATGGATCAAGGAGTAATTGTGACTTTCAAGTCTTATCATTTAAGAAACACATTTTGTAAGGCCATTGATGCCATCAACTGATTCCTCTGATGGATCTGGGAAAAATAAATTGAAAACCTTCTGGAAAGGACTCATCATTCTAGATACCTTTCAGAACATTCATAATTCGAAGTGTCAAGATTAACAGGAGTTTATTCATCCATCCATCATGGATGATTTTGAGGAGTTCCAAGATTTCATTGGAGGAGGTTAATTAGAGATGTGGTAGAAATAACAAGATATTTAGGATTAAAAGTAGAGCCTGAAGATGTGACTGAATTGCTACAATCTCATAATAAAACTAACAAATGAGAAGTTACTTTTTGTGGATGTTCAAAGAAAGTGGTTTCTTGAGATGGAATCTACTCCTGGTGAAGATGCTATGAATGTTGTTGAACAGGAGACTTAGAATATGACATAAACGTAATTGAAAAAGCAGCAGCAGGGTCTGAGAGTATTGACTCCAGTTTTGAAGTAAGTTCTACTGTGGGTAAAATGCTGTCAAACTGCATCGCATGCTAGATAAATCTTTTGGGACAGGAAGAGTCAATCAATGGAGCAAACTTCATTGCTGTCTTATTTTAAGAAATTTCCACAGGCATGTCAACCTTCATCAACCACCACCCTGATTAATTAGCAGCCATCAACACTGAGGCAAGATCCTCCACTGGCAAATAGTTTATGATTCACTGAAGGCTCAGATGATTATTTTTAAGCAATACAGTGTTTTAAAATTAACGTATGTACATTTTTTAGAAATAGTGCTACTCATACTTAATAGACTATACTATAGTGTACAAAAAACTTGTGTATGCACTGGAAAACTGAAAAAAATGTCCATCTTGCTTTCCTGTAATATGTGCTTTAAAATGAAAATTACAATATCTCCAAGGTGTGCTTGTAGAACTTCCCATCATTACTGAAAGTTCTCTTGGACAGCGGTGTTACAGATTGATCATTAATTGTAGAGAGTATAAAGAGAGTAATATAACACAAGGTGAGTTACATAGTGTGACAGGCTAATCCAGTGTGTAATAGCTAAAAATATTTGTTTCATAATTTGTTTGGGTTCATAAGAAAATTTACAACCAGCCATAGAAAATTATCAGGTTAATGTCTTTTTATAGTCATCTTTGCTGTGCAATAGAACACCTGAATTTATTTCTTCTATCTAACTTTGTACCTGTTGACCAACCTCTCCCCTTTCCCTGACCACCTCCTCCTGCAGCCACAGATGGAAACAATCTAAATGTCCATCAAAAGATGAATAAGTTTTTAAAAATGTGGTATATATACACAATGGAATACTATTCAGCCTTCCTGAAACAGGAAATTCTGTCATTTGTGACAGTATAAGTGAACCTAGAGGACATTATGTTATGTGAAATAAACCAGGCACAGAAAGACAAATAGCATATTATATGTAGAATCTTAAAAAGCCAAACTTATAGAAATTGAGTAGAATGATAGTACCAATCCATCAATTTTAATTTGGAGAATTTTGTCCTTTATATCTACAGTTCATTTGCTCCTCTCTTTTAAGGATTTCCTCTAGCATCTTAGAATTGAAAGGTTCTCATACACAAAAGCTCTATTCATGCATTTCAAATGTACTATTCTTGTATAACAAAAGTGCATTTATGTATTCGATGAACATATACTTCCCAGTATAGTGAAACAAATGGACTTCTTCATAAGAAAATATTTTCTAGCTGTGTGGCTTTGGGCAAATGACTTTATTATACTGGACTTTAATGCTCTCATCTGAAAAATTAGGTGGAAAATAAAAAAGAAAACTATACTGTTGATATTCTATTTTTCTCAGTTTTCTTTAAGTGTCTAGTAAGAAAAACATAGTAATTGGAAAAAAAAATTACCAACAGGTTATGTGACAAAGCTTTGATCAAAATATTACTTGCTATAATATGTTATCACTAGTGAAAACAGTTTTGGAAAACAAAATATTTTGGTTAAAGATAAAATGTGTCATTTTCTTGAGGATTTTTATAACTGCTGAAAAGGCTAGACCTGGAAATTTTACAAAATAAACAAATTCTGATACTGGCTATAAAAGTAAGAGAAAATACTTACTTGTTCAGCTGAAGAGTAAATTTCTACTATTAAAATGTATCCCAATCTATGTTAGATAGCATTAGAAAATACTGCAATATTCTTAAATAATATTTGCCTAGAAATTGGATGCATAATTAGAATGCTATTTGTAGTTATTTCAGCTGGAATTATTCGTATTTGTTCTGTGGCTTGAGAATCTTTCCATAGAGAGAAGGGATACAGAGCAGACTTTCTCTAGACCAAGCTTCCAACTCACAGGTCTCTCTCTCTCTCTCAAACCACATCACATATTTTAAGTAGCCAGTTTCACATTTTTGAAAAAGTAGGTATCTTGATCACACTGAGATGTGTGGCTCTTAGTATTCAAAGAAAATTGTGTGTACAAGAAACAGATTCTAAATCTGAGTTATTACTTTAAAAATATTTTAGAAACCAAAGTTGTCAGATCATCACCTTAGAAAATTTTCTTAAAAATTTTTACTTATGTAGTCTGTATACTGGCTCACTCAGTTTCATTGTGGGATCATCTGAAGTCTCAGATCCATGAAACTTTACTGAATATGTGGGCTCACACTACTCTATGTATACTTATCACACCTGTTGCTCAGCGTTATAGTACTATTCGTCTCATTATTTATCCCTTTTAGGGCTCCACTCTCTATAGAGAAATTGTGAGATCCCAAAGTGTATGACTTGCTTATTACATGTCTTTGACATCAGCAAAGCACCAACCAGACTATAAGAATTCTCCCTAAAATATAAATGTAATCAAATTATGTGGAAACAAATTTTGGACAAATTGTTCTTGAACAACAACAAAATCTGATACATAGAAAATGAAGACATAAATTATTTGTGTTTATTAATTTTGACCACATGATTTTGCGCTCAGCTGATACGTAATCATTATTTATTGATACATCATGAAAAGTCTTTTCTTTTTTCTGATTCCATGTTGGACAAAATGGAATTGATAATTACCATCCATTTGGTGATGGTAATTATCCATTTAGAACAAAAA